CGAGATTCCGACATCACCTTCCATGCAACAGCTCAAAGGGCGGCATACTAATGCACTAATGATGGCTGTTAATATGGAACAACTCAACCAATGATAATTACGTACCGCGGCTTCCTCCGACAGCTAATACACATGCCCGAAACATGTCTTCGAACGTCCGCATCGTTCGCCCTCTCTAAAGTGTCCTCAGATGTCATCATGATAAGCTCCTTTCCCATATTCCTCTTCAAGACTAAGTACCAGATCAACTTTTGGCTCCACATCTGAGCCCCCAACGGTCACCCATATTGCGATCCAAATATTCCACTGACTTTTCTCCCCGTGACCACTATCCCGACCCAGTGACACGTAAGTCACAAAATCTTCTTTTCCTCGTGAGAGAAAATACAATCCCACCAAAGATCGTCTCAACTCTAATCTCTGGTTTCTGCTGTGCCTCTTCCTTGTGTATCTCCCCGCATCTCCTGACAGAGACGAAGACCCCCGCCTCGCCCCCGACTCAACATCCAAGCTCCAAAGGCTTAATACCAGGGCTACCCAAACCCCAAACTCTTCCACCTCATACGCTGCTCGAAAATATTCCAACATAAAAATTCTCTTGCCACCCAGTGAGTACTGCAACTCCACGCAGTATCACAACACCCTCTGACTAGTGAGTACTGCGACTCGAACATCCACCACAGACTATGGAGACAATCAACATAACGAACGCCCATCTTGCGAAAATCCACCCTCTCAAATAATCTCCCTGAATGCCCATACCCGAAGACTCCTACTAAATCCGCAGATACCTGATATGCCACACGTCGATTCAATTCGGGATTCCCGAATAACTCCAAAATAAGGATATCATACCCGAATATCCCAGATTACTACCACCACCACTGATCTCCTGCACCCCATAATTAAATCTATATTTTCCCCGCCTTACGACCTTGGTGCATCTAATTTCTCGATTGGAATGCGAGATAACGTTAACGTACGAAATGCGCTGATAACTCTCCAAATCCCTTTTTCCCGACACTCAAAATCCAAACAAGGATACGCATACCGACTCCGGAAGTTGACTGCCCAATCATTCTCTATCTTCTTGCAACAACACCAACACCAATCACCTGTCATGAATACGTTCGTTCTCCTCTTCAAGTACTTCCCGCATTAACTCACTCTGACCCCTTTACTCGATCATCGACACCTCTGGTCTCATGATTTCCTACTGCATCTCTATACTCCACTTATAACTACTCTTGGCAATTCTTTGTTTTCTACGTACTGCACCCGGTTCTCCCCCACTAGGGTTCGAACCGTCACTAGTTAGCATACCATCAACCCACGACTATCTTTCACCAGCGAAATCGTACCTGCTCCAGGAAAGTGCTATGCAACGCCCAATAGTCCCTTCCCTTATGAAGTCAATCAACCCTCTATACTCTGAACCTCTGGTTAACTCTCCAAGGGACTTCTCATCACGGCTGCCTCTAATCATTCCAAATCCCATACCAATCTAATACTAAGCACCTGCACTGCTCGATAACATCTTTGACTCGTAGACTGCACCGCAAAATCATCGTTCCTCTCATCTCAACTCATCAACCCATATCCAACGCCGGATTTGTCCCAAGGACAGGAACTCACTCTCAACATAGACGAAACTCCCTGCACTGCAAAACTCGACTGAACTCTTCACTGCTACCACTATAACACAACCTGTCATTCTCAATTAGGTGTGGTGTGGTCCTCGACTACCTCAGTCCCAACTGACTGTCTGCTCACAGTAAATCACTGTCTCGCGGCACACCCGCTACCTGATGCTCTGTGGGAAGTCATTATCGAAAACTACCTGCAGGGTGTACTCCCAAACCCAGAACTGAAACACCAGACCCCTCGTGTCTTGCACACGAACATAAATGGCACTACCCACCTAGAAGGTGACCTCTCCTCTATCGACTGATTTCTCGACTTAGACCGAAATTTCCCTCACCCTTTAACTCCCTACCACAATACTCTGATAGGTACTCGCCTTTCCTCCTCTCAAGGAACGCCTCTCCATCCTCAATCGTGGTCCACAGGCCTAAAACCCATAGCGTCCGATCTCTACCCCTTCGATCATAACCGGATAACAAGATAGTCACCAGCATCATCCACTACGAACCATGGTACTCATCCCATGACATGCCTTCTCAATTTGCTCCGGTGTATGGTACCTGAACCATAGCATCACCCTCAATCTGCTCCAACGTATGGCACTCGAACCACAACATCTATTTCAATCTGTTCCGATGTATGGTGCCCGGACCATAACATCACCCCGCAATCTGCTCCGATGTATGGTACTCGAACCATGACATCACCCCTCATTCCGTTCCTTAGGACCTTCAAAATGCTCCCTGTATCCAGTATGGGTCCTCTGCTTTCAGTAGTACGGGCCCATACTACCTGCCACATCTACCCATACTTTCCACACGGACCATCCCAGAGTTCCTAAGTAGCTGATCGAGTTACTCTTTCACCGGTCCCATCGCGCGTGCTCGCTCTCCAGCGAAATCCTCTACTCTACCAACGCACTCATCTGGCTAGTTTTACTCCCTAGTCCCTTCCGCCGTCCCCCCACTTCTTTGCTATCAGCTGCTGAAGAGTTCCTAATGATGCCAGCCCTCTACCTCCTGAGTATCGTCATACTCACTTAGTAGCTGACTCCCATCATCGAGAACTCCACAAAGCACGAAGCAAGCAGCATTCGAGCATCGAAGCATACATAGGACTCCCTATCCTTGATAGCTCCACCTTCTCGGTTCATCCTCGGAAGTACCACTGTACTCTGTAGCTCTACCCCTCGTGCGTTCTAACTAGATACCCTCACTCATCACATACACACAAAAGCATAACGCACATATAACAACAAACCCTAGGCTAAGGCATCACAAATCAGGCCACTCTAGTCCTAAGATATGAAATTCCTAGCCTGTCTCTAGCATACAATAATATCTCATAAAGTGCATAATAGATATTTCATAACACAAAAGTAAGGGTATTTTGGGAAATCACCGTTTGGCTCTGGCTGATTGTACACACTGCTCTTTCTTGCTTTCTCTTTGAACTCTTATTCACTTTTAGAAAACTATTTATTTGAAAACTTTTTCTTACTTCCTCAGTTTGAGTCCATATTCACCCGTAGGCGCGTCCGAATCCCTCAAACCAAGGCTTTGATACCAATTGTAACACCATGATTTTCGAGACAAAAATTTTTATTGAAATAATCAATTTAATATTAATACACTTGTTTAAAACCTCGTTCATAATAGAATTACAAAACGTAGTTTCATTTTCAGTTAAATAGAAAACCAGGATCCTCCAAAACACAACTCTTTCTTCGGTGTGTACAATCGAACCGTTGCCATCCTGCGTTACTGTAAGAACCTGAAACAACATAACATAAACAACGTAAGCACGAAGCTTAGTGAGTTCCCCAATATACACCTTACGCACGTACGCCTTTCCAGGCCCTGACCTTCCGGTCCACTGCACAATGCCTTCCGGCCCATGAGATAATCGCCTTCCGGCCCAATAGATATTTGCCTTCCGGCCCATAAGATAATTGCCTTCCGGCCCATAAGATAATTGCCTTCCGGCCCATAGAATAATTGCCTTCCGGCCCATACACATATATAACACATAATACAATTACTCTAACACATAAAGCACATATATCATATATCAACCTGCCTTCCGGCCCGAAACATATTCTAACACATAAAGCACATATATCACATATCATACCTGACCTTTCTGTCACATAATACTTTGCCTTCCGGCCCATATAACATGCATATCACGCGTAACTACTAACTTCCATTTACAGTATGAATACATAACGCATAACATGTTCGACCTTCCGGTCACACAATCAAACCCTTCCGGGTAAAGTATAGTGAGAAGACTCACCTCGCGGACACTGGAAGATAGCAACTCCTGAAATCCCTTGCACTTGATCCTCCGAGCTGCAAGCTCCCTGTAACATCATATATCTCTTATTAATACTTCTATCTTCCATGTTAACTGACCCTACGAAATCACACCGGTCAACGTTGGTCAACAGTCCACTGTCAACTCGACTGGACTCGGCGAGTTCCCTGGCGACTCGGCGAGTCTGGTCGTCCTTCAATCCTCTAAGATTCCCCTTCTACTCGTCGAGTATCCTCTTTGACTCGACGAGTTACTCCTGGAAGAATCGCGGGGCCACCCCGACTCCACTCGCCGAGTCTGAAGAACAACTCGGCGAGTCCCAGTGAATCTTCAAGCTACTCGCCGAGTCTGATCATCCGACTCGGCGAGTCCACGCCATGCAGTCGATCAACTGCTTCCAGAATTACGTATGGTCCCGAAATACACACTCATGGGACTCCTGGACCTCTAATCATCCTATTACTGGGGAATAAACTTTTGTATAACAACATAATAATCCATCAAATCACCAAATGGGTTTCATAAACCCTAAATCCGTGTACACATCAAAATAACAGGAATGATCCGAAACATTACCTGAAAACGTACTCTCTGTGTCCCCAAACCTCAGAACTCGATCCCCTTGATCTTCCTTTGGCTAAAATCCTTCCTCTTCTTGCACCACAATTCCTTCAAAGTCACTAATGGCCTTCAAGCTTGCTCTAGATGCCACAGTCGTTTAGGGTCCTCCACAATCGGCCAAAAGACGAACAATGACGGCATAAGATCCCTTATATACGTCCCAAACTGAACGGCTAGGGTTTTCCGCTGAACAGCGTCGACTCGCCGAGTCCATACCTAGACTCGTCGAGTCCAGCCGCGAACCCGCGACCACAACTGCGACCCTACTCGGCGAGTCTGGCTCCAACTCGCCGAGTCTCCCCTTTAAAACACCCCAAAATGCAATTAAACAATACTTGAGATTTTGGGCTGTTACACTTTTGACTATGTGCGAATCTTCGGTTGTTGCAATGGATTGTTTTTAATAGCTAACACGGATGGTGATCTGTTTATTTGGAATCCAAGTACCCGAACATCAAACAGGTTATCATGTTCTGGTTCTATAGGGCGACCTCGTAAGTATGAATTTGGGTACGATGAGTCTTCTGATGATTACAAAGTTGTTGGAATATATTATGTTTGTAAGGGTGAAGCTGAGTATGATGCGATAGTGAAGATATATTCATTGAAAACTGGAAATTGGAAGAGAATTGGTGATTTTCATAATGGTTTTTCTATGGATTGTTGTGTCCAGTATTTGAATGGTGTTCTTCATTGGACGAGTATTCAAGATTCTAGGTCATCTTATTCGTGGACGATAGTTTCTCTTGATTTAGCAAAGGAGACGTATGGAGAAATTTTGCAACCTGTGTATGATGAATTCCGTACGCATTTAAAATTGGGGGCTTTGAGAGAATGGTTGTGTGTGCTTTGTGATTATAGTCAAATTCGTGCGGATGTATGGGTGATGAAGGTTTATGGGGTGAAAGATTTTTGGACTAAATTGGTTTCTATCCCATTATTCCACTGATCCTGGGTGGCATAGATTTTCAGTTCCTTTATGTATTTCAAATGATGGGAAAGTTTTGCTGAAATTTGGGTCGAAATTAGTTGTATATGATTCCAAGAATTGTTCATCTTCAGAGATTCAGAACTTCAATGAATATGTTGAAGCATATACCATTGTTGAGAGTCTGGTTTCTCCTGATTCGCAAGCGGGCCCTGGAGATAACAATCAGGCTTGATATCAAGGAAACATGGGTTTTCTAAGAGGGTTTTTGGTTAAAAAATTTCTGTCTAGGATTATCTAATTACTTAGGGGGTCAACTGATCACCACATGTTAGAAGAAAATCACTTATATCCCCTTATTTTGTCTGCTAATTTCTTTACGTAACAGAACTCTTTACACACTCAACACCATTAGTAGTGATTCTTACAACTTACCTATCACAAGTGTATCCAAAAACCATTTCCTACACAATATTTTCTACATCTCATCACTTGATTCTTATAGTTCAACATTGCATAATTACTTTTAAAATGCACATCAAATTGACCTCAATAATGGAGTTAATGTGCTTTGGACAAGACCAATGCTATATCAATACATGGTAAAATAAAATAAGGCAATGGATGGAGAGTTGACCAAATCATTTGACCCATTCTATATGGTTAGATGTTGAAAATGGGGAAGATTGCGCTGATGATTAACATCTTGTTCAATTTGGGAGAGAGGAAGATGAAGAATGAAATCTTGATTCAAAGAATATATATTTAAATTGTTGTGTTATGAAAGAGGACTAGTAGTTGACTGTCGGTATTTAAAATGATTAATAAATTAAATTGTTTAGTTTTACAATTTTTTCGATCAAACATGAAGAATTAGTAATGGTAGAAATTTTTGAGAATGCCGAATGAGGAGGAAACATGTGATCAGGAGGAGATAGAGTTCAAGGGCTGGCTCAACCTTATAGTATAATTTTTCTAAACTAAGGCTTAGGGTTTCTAATTTTAAAGGGTGTCACACTCACCAACTTAACCCAATATTAATATATCTATTGTGATTCACAAAAAAAATATATTCATAATAACAAAAATTAATTCAACCATTTATAAATTTTTTAGTTTATTATTGTCGGTCTCACGGATAACGGATGATGATTTAAACATTAATTATAGTAAAGTCAAAGGGGTTATATTTTCAGTTCGTTTAGACCCCTCATACTGGTTGAGTCGCCCTTGATAGCATTCACTTCTTTTTTATTATTTTTATTACATATAAAAAAAATCTAATTTAGTCATGATTAAGCAAGGTTCTAAATAATATGAGTTGTGTTAATGCGGTAATATCAAGCTTCAAATTTTTTGTTCGCGACAAGTCACAACGTTTGTTAATGTGTGATTTAAGACCATAATTTTGTGTATATATATATATATATATATATATATATATATATATATATATATATATATATATATATATATATATATATATATATATATATATATATATATATATTCTATTATCATTCATTTTTATATATACATATGACTTAAGACGCTATTTGCTTGAGGCGAGACGTCATGTATAAGCCTTGGAGCTTTGAAGAACTTTTTAAAAACAACTGATTAACTTTACTCGATAGATTTCAAGATATTTTACGAATATTTTTTAAAACTATCATCCTAAATTGTCTCTCGTTAAATACTACCAATGCATCCTTTTTGTTCTCCTTCACCATCAACCACGTGCTTATCCATTTTCCTTCTAACCACTCACATCATGCGTAATGAACAATCTTCGTATACAGTGTTATCCTCTAACCTTCCTTGGTAGCAAGTTATGAACAAGAAATATCAGATTTTAAATAAATTTATGCTATCGACATGTTTGACGTGTTTGGAAAAAATAATTGGAAACTAGAAGATGGTTGTATCATTCTCAAAATCAAAATAAATTTAAATTTTTTAAAACCAACCATAAATCAAAATTGTTTACAAGAAAATCATTGTTTCAAAAGTAATATTTCAAATCAGAGTTTTCCCTAAGACTCAGAGACATAAAAACTGGAAATTGTATACGATCATTCCTTCGTCTTCCCACGATCCTCGGAAGTATCTGAAACCACAAATTAAAATTGTAAGTAAAAGCTTAGTGAGTTCCCCCAAAGTACCAACCCACCACATAGCAAGCAAGCATGCAAACATGAGTAGCCAGCCTGATTGGACAGCCTCACAGGACTTACATCCTATTTGAAACATCCCAAAAATACAGTCTGAAAATTTTATTTTAAATTAGTAATAAAACCATATTCATTAAACGTCATATAAGAATCATAAAGAATGTATCTCAAAATATCTTAACAATTGTCAAATATATCAGAGTATAAACATCCCAGGTTGAACAAATGGTGTGTGCACTGCAATCTTCCCGCGCTCCTCTTTTAAAAATTGAGTACCTGAAACAAAAACTGAAAACCGTAAGCACGAAGCTTAGTGAGCTCCCCCAAACTACCACATACCATACAATAACACACACACTGGGCCTTGCCCACTACATCGGACCCAAGTCTGGAAACTGCATCGGACCGGAGTCCGGAACTAACCAGGGCCTTGCCCTCTGCATCAGACCAAAGTCCGGAACTGATTGGGACCTTGTCCCCTGCATCGGACCGAAGTCCGGAACTGACTGAACATAACATAGCATAAACATATCAAATAGCATGAATACATATAATGCATACTGCATCGGAACAAAGTCCGGAACACATAACACAAAACATGTATGTATCACAAAGACACCAAGCATACTGAACTACTGCATCAAACTGAAGTCCGGAACTGCTGCTAACTAAACGGGCCGGCATTGTGGCCGTAGACCCGTTCCTACTGGAAGGAAACTTACCTCACACTGCTGAAGTCCTGTAGACAAAATCCCACACTGCTAAAGTCCCTTAGACTCAACCTCTAGCTGCTGGATGACAGATTCCCGAACTGTTAACACCAAGATAACACCTAATTAATAATTGGGTTCTAAGATATAACTATAAAAACATACTTTGGGTAATTACTACATTACCCCTAGCTTGGCTTACCTAAGCCCAAGGCACAATCCATAGGCCCAAAGTTAACTAGGGATCAAAGCCCAACATATGGCCCAATTTTCCAAATTGGGCTCAAACCTCTACATGGACTTCCCTTAAGGCCCAATTGATCAGTCCAGTCCAACATGTATCATTCTAGGGCCCAATATCATACAACCATCTAGGCCCCATATATGGCCCAATTTTCCAAATTGGGCCCAATCCTTCATATGGGCCTTACCCTAAAGCCCAACTAATTACTCTAGTCAAATTGATTATTCATAGATGGCCCAACACAAAGCCCAAGTGAAATTAGGGTTTCACATGAAATAACAATTAAGGTTAAGTGTTTCTCAGTTAACCCATTAAGGGCTTAACCCACTAAGGACTTAATTCATTAAGTCCATTATTGCTTAGATTAATTTCTGCCAATAATTATTATTTAATATTTCACTTATTAAATAATTCTTGAGTGTGTCTTGATAATTTCAAAAATATTAGCATTTTCTCAATTAGCCCATTAAGGACTTAGTCCATTAAGTCCTTTATTCTACTAGATAAATGGCTTGAAATAATTTGGGCTTAATTCACAATCCAATCCCAATGGCCCAAAAGTGGGTCCAATAGGTCTAAGGCCCAATACTCATAATTAGGGTTTTCTAAACCCTAATTAGGGTTCCTCACTCAAACGTGGCCTAATAGGCCCAAAATTAACCTCTAAGCCCATTAGGGTTTTGCTTGTGGGGCACCACCCACTACCACCTCGGGTAGTGGTGGTAAATGGCGGCACACGACAGCGGCCACCACCCTAAGGTGGTGGTTTTCCATATCTTTTCATTAATCTTTTGGAAATTACAATTACAATGCTTTATACACACACACACTAACTAACACACACACACACAACCACCCTAGTGGTGGTCAACGGTGGTACAAGGCGGCATCCACCATGGTTGGTGGCCATGGTGGGCATCTATTCTGTTTTCCAGCCACTAAAACCTTCTACAACAAAACACACACACCTACAAGATTCCATTTACACATAGGTCCAACCACCCTCCCTTGGTGGCTCACGGTGGCGGTAGCAACACTAAAAAAAACAACAGCAGCGACAGTTGTGATGGTAGCCACCACCCAATGGTGGTGGCGGTGGTCTTTCTTATCCCTCATCCGAACCAACGAATAGCAACCACACGCAACCACGATCCGAAGACTGAAACTCTCCCAACTCAGCCACCATGGGTGGCACACAATGGTTGGAACCCAGAAACGGCGATTCTCCGGCAGCAACATCGCACTGGCGACCTTCCTCGATAGTGTGGCGGTCGGCGGTGCTCATTGGCGAGGCAACAGGCACCCAACTTGGTCAGAACAGCGAACGACAACAGTCTTCACGCATGGCGGCTGGCTTGGCAGTGCAACGACATATGAACTTGGCTGGGCGACGACTGAGGAGATCTACAGCCCTCTCATTGACATTCATGGCTCCGACTTGGTCGCTAATGGATGTCCCGACAGTAGGAGGAAGCAAGGTGGCCGACCTCGGAGGTTTGCGGCCTTAGCGGTGGTGGTGGAGGAAGTATGGCGGCACCGGTGGGAGTCATAAGGTTGGCGGCTGGAGGATGAAGGGGAGTCGAGGTGACAGCTGACATCACATCTTTAGGGTTGCTTAAGACAAATATATACCCGATGCCTCTCAAAACATTTCCCATATTAACATAATCGATCCCTCCTTCCTTCTTTTCTTTCAAAATAAGTTCATATGTTACACTTTTAACCTTGCCTTCCGAAATCTTTACAAACTGAATCTAAAACTTACATTTTAAGCCCTGATCCCATAAATTTCTTTCATAATAGATCCCTGGATTACCAATAAACCCTTCAGCCTTCAAATCTTTTCAATTTAATCTCGAACTTACTCTTTTAACCCCCGACTTCTAAAATTCTTCACAAATTAGACCGAGACTCACATTTACTAATTTATTTAAATAAATGGGGTGTTACAACTCTCCCCCACTTAAATTAGATTTCATCCTCAAAATCATTCCTTATCATTGCCTTCACTTCAAACCACTCTAGTAACCTCGTCACCATCTGTGACATCCCCAAAATCACGGCCAGAAAAGACCGATTTTGTTTATGCTTTATAAAAATCAGAGTA